CGTCCCTTTCGAGACGGAGCACCGTTCCTACCCCTACTAGAGACACCACCAACATTTGGGAGCTCTTTACGTTTCTGCCACAAACTACATAAAAAATTCTTGCACATCTTATCCCCGTCCTCTACGGCCTCGTAGGCCCACCATCTATCCCCAAGTACCGCGATCGTTTTTTCGCTGTTGTCTAATTTACCAAACTTGTCCATGTCACACCCTCTCTGTCTCATGTCCTCCTCGAGATCCTCTCTTTCCTTCCTGTACAGCTCACACTCCCTAACTATTTGGGGTCTACTCTCCCCCGATTTGCCACATGGACATGTCTGTCTATCCTCCTCTTCCTCTCTCCTACGGCTGCTGTACCTCTTCCTCCGTTCTGGCAAGTCCAGATCGCCTACTCGAAATTGCAACTTCAGTTTTTTGCGTAGTCCATGGGGCCGTCCAAGTAACTCTTCATCCCTATCCCTTCTTTCAACTTCCCGTATGTCTCCAAGTGGTCTTCGCTTCGTACCTTCTTCCGAAGGGTTGCCTCCTCCCTACTTTCTAGCATTTCCTTGACTTTCTTCTTGAACCCCCCAAACCCTTTCGTGTCCAATGTCTCCTCCTCGTCTCCTATCTCCTTCCAAACCCTCTCTACCACCTTGTCCCATCTGATTCCTTTCTTCCCTGGAGTCGCTTTTCCCCAGGCTGCCTTGTCAACCATGGCTGGTAGTCTATCGTCCGACATTCTACTTAACTTGTACTGCCAATTCAACTTTTGCATGTCTCTCTTTGTTTTAAGAGAGTACATTCCCAGTTCTGCTCTCAATACAGTGTTGCTCGTTGTACTTGAACATCCTAGTATTTCTTGGCCGCTGCCATCTGCACCGTTTCCAGCTGCTTGACGGCCTTTTCGTTACCTTCCCATACCTCTCCTGCATACTCTAGCTTAGGTACAATCACATTCAAGAGAACACACCTCTTAATCCTAGTGTCTAGGTGTGGGTCCGTAAGGATCTCGTCCATCTTGCCTATCTGAGCTTTACCCTTCCCAATCAACTTTGCTATGAGTGCGTCCCATGAGCACTCCTTCGAAATCTCTACTCCCAGGTACGTATACCTGTCTACTACCGGTAGTTCTTCCTCCCCCCATTTCCATTTGAA